AAGAGATTTGGATACATAAATACCTGAGATCATAATCATTAGAAAAAATTGTTATAAAATTAACGAGATTTTGAATTATATGAGACAAAATGAGATTAAACGAGACAGCTATAAAAAATTATTTAAACAATCTCTATCAGTGCAAGGCAGCCCCTGTTACCCATACTTCATTTTCCACACATATGACCAGTAGAATAAAATTTATTACAATTAATGAATGAATCATTTAACAAAACTATTTAAAAAAATCATAATCAAAAATAAAAATTTGAAAAAGATATGTAGAAAAATAAATACTTTATTTATTTGTTTATTTATTTTTTAATTGATTGATTGAATGATATGTAATGTTGAATATGCATTAATAAAACTAGATGCATAATAAAAAACTAATAATGATACAAAATATACATACCTCCTTGGATGCACATTTAAATGGAAAAAATTTGTACAAATACAAACTATTGAAAAAATAAAACAGGCAAAAAGTAAAAATTATATAATACTTTCATATCACCTTGACTGTATATAAATGGAAACAATTCACACAAATACAAACTATTGAACAAAAAACATAAAGAAAAATGGCAAAACGTGAAGTATATAATACGCTCATAATAAAATGTGCCAGTGTTGATTGCAGGAGGGATTTGATAGCTACTTTTTGTGTATGCATTGTGAGATGTCTGACTGTGAAATGGTCGTAACACCAATATACGAATGTTGTTGTCACACAGTCGTCAATAGGGCATTGAAATTCATATATTACTTGATTACGGTTCAAAGTAGAATCGTCTTTAGGAGTGCAGTTGTTCTTTAAGACCAATTGTGATGTCTTACAATTTGTAGTATATCCTGAGTTTTATTTTATTAGTATCATGGATTGGTGTAACATTTCTTTTTATGATCTGTTTGAAGACAAGTTCGTTTATTTAATGTGCCGTTGACATATGATTTCTGTAATTTAGGATTATGTCGGTGTCATTTTTGTTTTTAAATATATTGATATCTTGTATTTCTTGTTAAATGGTGCTCCCGATGTTGAAAGCTTTTGATAGAGTGAAACGTGTGGAGCTTATGGAAATATTGGAAAATTTGGACATTGATGGAAAAGACACGAGGGTTACCAAAACCTTCTATTGGGAACAAAGAACAGCGATGAAAGTTGATAACATGATGACCGACTAGTTTTGTCGAAATAAAGAAAGGTGTTAGGCAAGGCTGTGTGTGTGCATTCTCTCCAGACCTGTACAATCTCTATAGTGAGATAATGAAAAAGATAAAAGATCTACCAGGAATATCCTCTGGAAGCATGTATAATAAGAATGTAAGATATTCTGATGATACAGCTCTTATAGCAGATTCAATGGAAAAACAACAAACAATTGTTTACAAATTGGATTTTGAAAGTGAATGGAAAGGCTTGCAAATTAACATCAACAAAACAGAATGCATGTTTATCAGTAAAAGCAAAACCTCTACAATTTGCTCCATAATCATTAATGGTAAGCAAGTGAAACAAGTCAACAGCTTCAATTATCACAGAAGTATGATTACCTCAGGTTGTAAATGTGATATGGATATCAAAAGAAGGATAGTTACGGCGAAAGATGCATATTCTAGAATGAAAAACATCCTCACCAACAGTAATATCAGCAAAATTAAAGCTGTTAGGGTGTTACATTTTTCCTTATGGCTCTGAGTCTTGGACAATTTTTAAAAAAATGGAAAAAAAAGATTAACGCTGCTGAGATGGGGTTTTTGAGAAGAGTTAAAAAAATTAGTTGAACCTCTCATACCTCGAATGAGGATGTATTAAAACAGTAGGTTATGAAAAGATGAAATTATTACAAATAATTCGACGGGGCAGTACAAGATTTATGGTCACATCGTGCGGAAGGAAAAAATGGAAAGTTTAACAACTACTGAAAAGATTGTAGAAAAAAGAGATCGCTGTCAACAACAAATAATATTCATGAAGTCCTTGTGTCCTTTGTTGAATATCACCACATTTCAACTCTTGCAAAGAGTTATTGATCGGGTTTTGTGAAGGTCGATGGTCGCCAATGTCCTGAAATGATAAGGCACGAGAAAGAAAGAAAGAAGCTTTCAATGGATGATGTTTTGTAAACATTGCTTACTAGTAGATTAGTAATTCTTTTCAGTTCCGTTTTACAATTTTCAATTGAAGATGAATGCGTGAATGAACGGTTCACAAACGATTTCGTTGTATTTTTGAATTGTTCCATACATTCACTTAACTCATTTAAACAAATACCTTTATTTGTTGCTTTGACGTACACCGCAGTTATAAATCTTTGTTCGTCATGCGTTACCAAAACATCCAGAAATAGCAATGAATTTTCACTTTCGTGCTCGATGGTGAAATTTAATTTTGATTGGTTCAGGGTTGCTAGTAGCTGGTTGACTTGTTCCGGATCATCGTATGCGACGAAGATATCGTCAACATATTTGACATAAATGTTTGTTTTTAATTTCTTTTAATTTCGGATTGTCTCTAAACGTTTTGCTCTCAAGATGCCATAAAAAGAAAATTGTGAACAGGACATCGTGTGGCGAGCCCATGGCTAGACCGTCAATTTGCTTGACTAGTTTTCCTGTGGAAGTGTAGAAAGGTGCTTTGGTGGTGCAAATTTTGGGAAGAGATTTTAGATGTGTTTTTGGTATTTTCAAGGAGATCAAGTTTGAGTGATAAACACTATTGATGATAATATCAATTGTTTCAGGGACGAGAACATTTGTAAAAATAGATTGGACATAAAAAGAAGCAATATAATTTGATGGTTTGTTAGTGTCCAATAGATTGATAAATTCCCGTGAGGACTGGAAATTAAAATTACTAGGAATGTATAGAGTCAGAATTTTGTTTAGATATTTGGCTATAGGGTATGTTACTGTTGGAGTTTGGCTGATGGTAGGTCAAAGGGGGTTGTTATTTTATATTATTATTATTACTAAAGAATTTATATTCTAGCGCCCTGTAAAACTTTTCAAAGACCCTGCTTAAGTCATGTGGTTTACTTCATAAAAAGTTGAGTTTTTATTTCTTTACGAAATTGCTGAAGATCCAATTAATCCAGGCTGCATAGTAAATTATTCCAAATTGTTGGACCAGCGACGGAAAAATTCCTGTTTCCTACAACCAATTGTGTTTTTGGTACCGATAGAAGATCCTGACAATCTGAGCGTAACTGAGGACATTGAGCAGATGTAAACCTATGCCAAACACTTGTCAGACGGGTAATTCGGACTGAGACTATTCAAACGTATAAATACCACGATGGAAATTTTAAATTTGATTTTTCGCCTAACAGTCAGCCAGTGACTTTGACTGACATGACCAAACTTTAATCCACCAGTAACTAACTATTTTAGCTGCTGGATTTTGAATTGACTGTGATTGGCATATGATTTAGTTGAAATAAAAATAAATAAATAAATGTCATCTGACCCAGATATGTCGATAGAGTTGACATGAATCATTTGCAATTGTTGCCAGGTTCAGACAAGCAGAAGCTGAGTTTTACTCTCGTTAAGCTTCAGTTTGTTGTTTATCTTCCATTTATTGAAATCTTAAACACAGCAGAAAAATCTGTGAACTAAATTATCAAATGTCGCTGTTTTACAACAAATGGGAGCAAAGATTTGAACATCGCCAGCAAAAAGCGTGATATTTAAATTAAAACTTTTCAATGATATTAATCATATCAGCTGTGTAGAACAAAAACAACAGAGGTCATAAAACGGAGCTTCGAGGAACCCCAGAGAAAATCCCCTCGACATCAGACAATGTACCGTTGAGTTAGGTCGTGACTAATTTATATATATATATATATATATATATATATATATATATATATATAGATCCTAATGAGCTATTAAAAATAACTAAATCATTAACTTGCTCACAATATAATAAATCAGCCTCCCCAATCTTATAACGGCAATTTTACTATCAAACCTTAATGCCATACATTTACCAGTATACCACTCATCACTCCATTTACCAATAGCATTCAAACATGTTTACAATTCATCTCTATCACGAGCCCTATCAACAATTCTTTTATATAACTTAGCACCACCTGCATACAAAACCAAATTTGCCGAATTACTAGAACTAATAATACTAAACATATCACTGATGTAAATTTATAAACAAACTAGGCCAAGCACACAACCCCAAAGAACAACACTGTTATATCCGCTGGAATCATATACTTAGAATACCTATACAGGTGCTCAAATGCACCCGCGCACATTTTCATACTCTAGTTTCCGTGAAACCCATCAAATTTTACATTTTTCATATATTTATAGTTTATTAATAAATATTTATAAATTTTTTTAAATTTTATTTTTTTAATTGATTTATTTCACGAATTTGCTTAATATTTATACATATTTAGTACCTATTTTCTGATTTAAGATCGTCGTGCTTGACAGGCACTTCCCTGGCTTAAATGGTCGAGTTGCGGAATATAATCAATTTTAATTGACTAGTATTATCTGTGTATTAGTATTATCATCTTTATAGAACTGTAGAATCTTTTGATTGTAAATGTACTGCATACAAAGCACAGCACGTGTCGAAAGAGGAGAGAGGTTAGTAGCGAGGTTGGAGTAGTGGATTATGTAGTTGCGATGTGAACAATCGTGCGACATAGCACATTTTCTTGATTAGTAAATGTTAGCGTTTAGTGTTTCCTTTACTGTTGGCATTCAAATAAATGTTTAAACAAGTTTGTGTTTAAAACAGTTGTTTATCTATCAGAAATCTTGAACCTACAGATTATTATCGATAACTCGACGATAGTGCAAGTTACAACAATACATTATCTTATTTTATCATCGATTGTGCTAATCATTTTACTAGATAAGGGTACCTGGTATTTGAATGTTTTCAATAGTTTTATTTATTTAATATTCATATATGCTTCTTTTTTTTTTAATTTTTGTACTTCTTCGTAATTGTTTTTGCGGGTATTATTGAGCCCAATTTAAATTTTAAAATTAGTCTATACAAATTATATATATATATATATATATATATATATATATATATATATATATATATATATATATAAAAGCAATACATTACACATTCAATTCATTTCTGATGGCATAAGTTTGTATCAAAACGTCACGTCGAATCAAATCACTTGACATGACTTTAGGAAATTTACTGAATTTATTAAACTTTAATGATAAATCTTGAAAAAAATGAATGTTATTGAAGCACTCGATTTCTATATATATATATATATATATATATATATATATATATATATATATATATATATAGATTCTTACAGAGCACCAGGTGCTTAGCACCCGTCCAAAAAAGTCCTGGACGCAGAACACGGAGGACTTGAAGGCACTTGATCTCAAGGAGACAGACGCAATGGATAGATCGGCTTGGTGACCGAAACTGATGAATGGAATAAAAAAACGAAGATTGATATATATATATATATATATATATATATATATATATATATATATATATATATATATATATATATATATATATGTTGGTAATAGACAATAATTTTTACAATATTCTATAAATTCTCCCCAATGTTTGGCGTTAATATGTTTGTAGTTCGTTTTTTCGATTTTTCTCACCAAAGTTTTTTGGTGAACGTTTAGTTTAATAAAATTCAAAATAA